GTTTATGCGATATTGTCTCATTTTCTTGGCGTTTCTTACGTGCTACTGTTATTGTTTTTCATATATTTTTTGGTACTTTTGATTCTGTTACTATTTCTAGGCTTTCTGCTGTTGATACTGATATATTGTCTTTTTCGTCTGCTTGAGCTGAGGGTCTATCGGAAACAGCCTCTCTACTCCTTGGGGTAGGGGTAAGGTTTGCGTACACTCTACCCTCCCCAGACCCCACTTGTGGAATTTTACTGGGTTATTGTTGTTGTTGTTGTTGTTGTCATCTCATTTTTGGCGTGTTTTAAATTTCTCATTTTATCTTTAATAAGATCATGTCACAAAAATCTCTATAGCTCGACTCCGTGCCCAATCAAAGTGCATCACATAATTTGGGAATGAGGGCCGAGGAGTGCCGGCCTTTACATCAATCTAGTCGCGTTGAAATTAATTACTCCTTCCGTCCCAAAAAGAATGTCGATATATTTGAGATTTCGAAATTCAATCTTCTTAATTTTGACTTAGGGACACTACATTTTTCAAGCGTATATTTGCTAATGTCACCAAAGCATACAGTATGATTTTCTAAAAATTGTTCAATTACAAATAATGCCATATTTCTACCTCCGTATAACGAGGAATGGTAATATCTATTTATTAATTAATAGGAATTTGACTCGCCCACGCATGAACTACTCATCAATAAATGACTTAAACTTCAAGTCTCTATATAATTTAGAATTTAGTTATATATGTATTGCCCGTATACAAATTTTCCTACACTATCAACATACTTTTACATATTATAGAAGATTGTTTTCTATTTTTCTAAGGTCACTAATTAATATGTATTTGTATTAAATTTAAGCAAAAATTTCCTTATAATATAAGTATATTTGAACCTTTTATAAAAGATTATTTTCCATTTTTAATGTTACCAATTAATGTTTGTATAGAGCATTACCAACAGTTACCTTAACTTTAAGCAAGAATTTCCTTACACTATGAGTAAATTTTGACCTATTAAATTATTTTCTAAATTTATAATTAATGTTTGGTCAGTGCATAGACACTATAAATATCCCCAATGCTCTAAGAGTTTCGTACCCTCAAACCTAAGGTTTTTTCTTTCTTCTTATTTGCAGATTTTACTTTGAAAAATACAACTGAATGACAATGAGGAGCATTAATGGTGAACGAAGCCTTTTCATGGTTTATGTGGTTTTCTTGCTTGTTACATTCTCTGGTATATATATCATCTCTCTTCTTTTCTTCTCCTTTTCTTTTTCTTGTTTATTTTTGTATTTTTTTTGCAAAAAAATATAAGTGAAGTTGGAAAATCTAAACGTTTATGTATGTACTACTGTCAGACCTCTCTATAATAGTATCCTTATATAAAAAATCATTCACTATAAAAGTCATATTTTTTTCGGAACTGGTTTTTATGTTATATTATAATATATATCCTCTATAACAGCACTTCACCATAGCAGCCAAAAATATCGTAACAAGTGAGGCTGTTATAGAGAGGTTTGACTGTATATATAGTATATACATATACAGCTAGACCTCCTCTATAACAGCCATCCTCTATAACACTTTAGTCAAGTTTTCTTTGGAACCATTTTTAATATTGTGTTATAATATATGTTCTCTATAACAGCACTTCACTATAGCAGCCCAAAAATGTTGGAAAAAACAAGGCTGTTATAGAGAGATTGTATATACCCTAGCTTCTAGTAGGCTGTTCTCTGTAACAGCACTTGACTATATAAACTCTCTTCATTCCTTCTCCCTTCATTGTAAATTTGAACGTATATGCATGTACTATATATATTATATACATATAGCTCTTCACTACAACAATCAAGTTTTCTTTGGAATCAATTTTAATATTATGTTACTATAATAAATATTTTCTATAACAACACTTTATTATAGCAGCCAAAAAGTATCAGACTAACGAGACCTTTATAAAAAGGTTTGACTGTATATACCCTAGCTTCTAGTAGGATATCTTCTTTTGGTTTGAATTTTTTCCCTTAATTAAGGATTGACTCAATTACTCTTAACTATCTTGAATGTTCAATGTCTAATCAAAATCTTGAATCAAGTATTCTTATTAATATCTTTTGATGGTATTGCATGCAGTGATGCAAGTTAATCATGCATTGAAACTAGCTGAGAAAGTTGGTGTTATTCAAGAAAATAACAGTAATGGCGGTGGTAGTGGTGATGAACACAATAACTCACAGTACGATGTAGAATTATGTCGAAAAGACAACATACAAGTAACTCAAGGTCAGACAGGAACAGCGAACGGGATTCCAGTGTACTCGGTCACGATCATAAACACATGCAACTCTGGAAGTTGTCTTAATATTCACTTGAGTTGTGGCTGGTTCAGTTCAACAAGACTCATAAATCCTGCAATTTTTAGAAGACTTGGTTATAATGATTGTCTTGTCAATAATGGAAAGCCTTTAAAACCTGGACAATTACTTAATTTTCAATATTCCAATACTTTTAGTTATCCTCTTGCAGTTTCTTCTGTTAGCTGCAACTAGATATGGTTTTAGTATTAGTATGAGTATATATATATATATATATATATATATACTCGAATAGGGTTAGGTAGATATGGAAGTTTTATACTATAGTTGATTTTATTTGGTTCATATTGAAGTGTAATTAATTAGTTCATTGATTGATTGATTACACTGATATGGTTTGTTTTACCTATTCTTGTGCCTAGACTGTTTAATTTTGCACCGCTCAATTCTCATCAAATATAGCCCCTAACAATTTTTTATAAAAAATATAAAGAAAGATATTGTTAGTATTATATGTGTTATAGGGTCTTACCAAAGGGTAGATGTAGTGTTTGCATCGGGTTTATCTGAACTCGATATAATACTTTAGATGCTGAACCGTCGAAATTAATTAGAATTACAAAAAATAATAGATATAAACCCATAATTTTAAAAGTAAGATGAAACCAATACTAAGAAATTTAAAGATTGAACTTATAGAACTTGAATCTTTAATCGTCTCTTGTTTTACCTAAATCCACCTCCAACTATGATAAGATAAATAATAAAAACTTACACAAATGTCCAAAATAAATCTCAACTTACCAACCTCTAGCCATTAGTCATAGACTTACCAAAACTAGCCAACAAAAATTGAAAAACCAAATAATAGGGTTCTTTCTCTCAAAGAATCACATGCAAAAATCACCTTCCATATTTTTAAGCGTGATTAGCAACATTAGATACAAGACGGAAAGGAAATTTCATGGACGGGGTAGCAAATAAGGTGATGAAATACAAAAATCTATACAATATTCCAAAAATCTAAACAAAGAAGGAACTTTTTCAATGGGTATAGTTGAAATTCATTGAAAATATGTAGATAAGTCAATATACAAAATTTGAGGAAGATTGGAGGTGATTTGGACTGGTTTTGTATCAAAATTCGTAATTAAATCGAGTTCAAAAAAGTCTTCTGCGACACATGTATCACGCATGTATCTCACACACAGGTATACATGGATGTACATGTGATACATAATTGATACAAATATGATACATATGTGATACACAGTGATACACATATAATTTTTTTTCATGTTCAGCTTTTACTTTGAATTTTCAATTCAAACAACCTCAAAACTTCACCAAATCATCCCAAAACTAAGATTCAAGCTCCTTAAGTTGTGCCCAATCTATTCTAATAATACCCACTCAAAACAAAGCAAAAATTTGATATTTTTTTGCTACAAATAGCTAATTGGCTAATTTGGCTAATATTAGTAATATTTTATCAATTGGCCAATTTTTGTAATGAGCTACTTATAAATGGACATAGCTGGTAATTTCCCAATAATAAACTACATCGAGTTCCATAAGGTACTGTAACAATGAAGACTCGAGTTAAATCTAAATCGAGTATTTCCATTAGGAGTTTAAGTAAATTAAGGGCTTTTCACTTTTAGCCCGTGTCAGAAACTATTTACATTCGGTAGCCGAAAAAGTGTATAGAAATTATATGATTTTTGTATTTAACATATAAAACGTATATATATACAAAAAATATTTTTAAAAATAAATATATATTTTTCGACTATTATTTTAAGAACGGCTATAAAGTGTCATTTTTTCATTAATTAATTGTGTTACCTTGTTACAATCACAACGCCATCTAAAATTTCTAGCTTCACTTTGGGAAAATATCATATTGATATGTTGTCATGCATAGATTTCAACAAATAAAGAGCCAAAAATTAAATATATCAAAATGAGAACCCAAAGTCACTAGAACATTAGTTAGGCAAAAACATACTCGTCCTCTTAGTTTGATTTCATTAGATACAACATTAATGAAGTAAAGTAAAACTTCTGAATCTTGTATTCTTAGACAAAAGATTATGATAACAACAATAATAATACCAAAAAAGACAGTCTGGTACACTAAGCTCCAGCTATGAGCGAGGTCTGGGGAAGAGCCGGACCACAGGGTTTATTGTACGCAGCCTTACCTTGCATTTCTGCAAGAGGCTGTTTGTACAACTCGAACTCGTGACATCCTGGTCACATGGCAACAATTTTACCAGTTACACTAAGGCTCCCCTTCTAATAATAATACCAAAATTACTCTTTAAATCTTGTGATTTTAATTAAATATGCTCTGTGCTTTTTATAAGAAAATATTATAAAGGATAAAATAAGAATGCCGAACATAAAAAGTAACTAGTATAGAAAGTAAGAAACATTTTTATTTAAACAAATAAATCCTATAATTAATTTCAATCCTTTTCTCAAATTATAACGAAATTCAACTGTAATACAGCTAAGAACTAATACTAATAAGGAACTGATCCACCTTAACAGAACATAGAATCCTAGCCGTCAAAATCTTTAATCAAAATTCAATCACAGCCGTTAATCAACCAACCGCCTTATAATTACAACAAATTCCGTCTATTCAAAGTTCAAACCCCGCCAAAAACCCCATTTGACCAAAAACGAACTTCACACAGTTCCTTTCCAAAGCTCTCTTCAATGGCGTCACCCGAATCCGCAAAAAAACTATTCGGACCCGACCCGTACCCAATGATCAATCTTCTATCACATCTCCATTGCGACGACGATCATCTTTATCAACCAGCAAAAACTCTGTTCAATTACACCAAAAACCATTACCCAACTGCTCTAATTCTCAAACTTTTCGAAATGATTCAACGTAACCCTTTATCGATCACAGGTATTCGTTGTTATTATCTTCTTCGTGATCTTCTTCCTTCTCTTTGGCTCCGTCTTCCTCCATTTACACGTAAAGACTTAAAAATTGGGTTAAACTATCGTTTATGGCTTGAAAAAGATTATGAAACGTTAAAAGCTTGTGTTTCTTGCGTAGCAAGTTTAGCCGGTTTGTTGTTTCCTAAAAATGAATGGGATGATTTGTTTTACTTCATGTTTCGAAAATTGGGTTCGAGTTGTTTGTATAGAAGATTGGGTGCTTTGTTATTATGGAATGATTTGATTCCTATTTGTCCTGAGGTTTTTATGCCTTATATTGATTTTTTGATTGAGGGTTTTAAGGATCTTATGCCTACTGTAACGGAAGATCATCGGTGTGGTGTTGCTGCTGCTAAGGCATCTGTAAAATTGGTTTTGTATTTGGGAAATACCGCGAATTATAGCAAGTTTTATGATCTTATGGCGTATGTGATGATGACTTTGTTTATGGCATTAGGTGAGGAAGTTCTTGTGTGTAGTCTTCTTGAGGATTTGATAATTTTGGCCGGGGCGGAAACTGAGTTTTTTAAGGTTCAGATTGATGTTGTAATAGATTCAATGGTGAAAATAGTTGGGAATTTGGAGTTAGAAGAGAAGACAAGACAACTTGGTATTGAGTTTGTTTTAACAGTTGCTGAGGATAAGGAAAATGGTTGTGGAATGATGCAGAAGATTGATAAGGATGTTGTTTCTAAGTTACTTAGTGAGTTAATTGTGATGTTAGTACATATTGAAGATGATCCTAATTGGGGAAATGCAATTAGTGATGATGAAAATGGAGGGGAATTGAGTATGTGTAGTTATGCTATGGAGAGTTTGGATAGGTTAGCAATTGCATTAGGAGGAAATGTGATTTTGTCTAGTTGCCCTGAGTGTTTGTTCAACTTCTTGTATGATGAAAATTGGAGAATTCGTCATGCTGCTGTTACTGCAATTGGTCTGATTTCCGAGGGTTGCTCGAAGGTAATTCTCTCTCCGTTCCATTTTATGTAGCACTCTTTCCGTTCTAACGAGTATGCCGGAAGCTCTTTAACTTTGAAGTTTCCATTTTACTCTTAATCATAGAAATGTTGTAGCATGTTCAGACTACAAGGCCTAAGGGGACTTTTCGGTATGTGTCAGAAGTAGAACACTGTCAAATAAGATCTCCTTAACTTTGAACTTTTCATTTTAACCTTAATGACATTGTTCATATAGCCATTTGTAGCATGTTTGGATTACAAGTGCTAAGGGTACTCTTAGTATGTGTCAGAAGTAAAACACCGTCAAATAAGATCTCTTTAACTTAACTTTCCATTTTACCATCAATGACGTGTTCATATAACCATTAAAATGTTATTGCATGTTTAGACTACGAGTGCCAAGGGTACTTTTGGTATGTGTCAGAAGTAAAACACCGTTAAATAAGATAAGACAGAGGTTCAACTTTAATGTTTAGAAGGCTATTGAGAAGTGAAAAATAGGCTTAATATAGTATTTGTATGTGATTTATGGTGTGGGAATTCCAGGCATTGTTGCAGGAGATGGGGCAGCTTGTAGAGACTGTTGTGATGCTAATCCATGACACGCATCCCCGAGTGCGCTGGGCAACAATTCATGCAATTGGTCAGCTTTCAAAGTATCTGAGCCCACATTTTCAAGAGCAATATCACCAACAGATCCTCCCTGCTTTGCGAGAAGTTTTAGATGATTTTGACAATCCTAGGTTGCAGGTACTTCACATCTTCTCTGTATCCTTTTTTAGCTACCACCTTTTAAGGTTGGCCTAATTTTACAGAGAGTATAATTTACATTCAGGCTTTTGAGCACCTGAATGAAACTTTTCACACTTATCCATTGCAAATACATATCATTGCATACTAATACTACCTCATTTGTATAGACACGTGCGACTTCAGCAATACTGTTGTTCACTCGCAATTGCAGTTCAGATGTCTTGAAACCTTACCTGCAGAGAATAGTGAGTAAATTACTCGTGTTTCTACAGGTATGTCACTTTTTCCAAATCTATGAGGTATATAGTGTTTACTTCTGTAAGAGTAATGACATAATGTTAGTGTCTGATGACTGTGTGTTGCCACATTCATCAGGCAGCGGTATACATGTATGTAAGAGTAACGACATATGTTTTTAACAGCCATATCTCTGATATGATTTGGACTAACAAGTGACTCGCTGAATTCCAGAGAGGAATGACGATGATGAAGGAAGCGGCTCTTGCAACTTTAGCTTCTTTAGCTATTTCATCACAGGTACTTTTGTTTTCAGAGGTTCAAAAAGAACTTTCCTTTCGATGTTCTGGTGTTCTAAACTTCATTTGCCTGGGATATTGTAGGACTCTGCATACATATATGATTCAATAATGCCATATCTGAAAGTTATCATGGTAACTGCTACTAAAGATACAAGTCGCATGCTCCTTACCAAATCCTTGGAATGTATTACCACGATCGCAATGGCTGTCGGGAATCTAGCAATCCTTGATTATGTTGAGAAGGTGAATACAGATTATATCTGTCCATTCCTTTGTAGCACGCATATTATAAAAGTGGACTGTGTTTCTTGGAACTGTCAAATAAACCAATACAATGAACATTTTAGATTTAAAGTTAGAACCATATAGCGGTAAACCGATACTTAAACCATTAGATTCAGGGAAAATAAAGTCATATTTGATTAGGAAATGTGGAAAGCGGTAATAAGAATTTGAATTTACCAGAGGAATAGGTGTGTGCTGTAGTAAACTAGAGCATGGACCAACTTCATTCCTACAGCAACATCTTGTAGATACAGTTCTTACAGAGAAAACTGGAAAAAAAAACATTTATACTAATTGAAACTATCAACATCAGTTAAGTTCGGAAACTGCTTTACCAACAATGTGTCATTTTAGGTCACTTCTGCGCTCATTTCACTGCAAGAAACTCACATGGAGGTAGAAGATCCAATGAGGAGCCTTTTGTTACAAGTATGTTGATACACTTAGAATTTTCTGCAACTTCTCTTTTCTATTTTTGGCTAATTTACACCATAAACATTATGGTTTTCGTATACTTGATTCGGTTACAGGCATGGGGTAGACTATGCAAATGCTTGGGGACAGATTTCCTTCCTTATCTGAGTGTTGCCATGCCCGTCGTACTAAAATCTGCTCAGCTAAAGAATTATTTGAGTGTTTCCAACAATTCAGACACAGAGGATTCTGATGATGAAAGGTTGGATCTTCCTAAAACACTCGGACGAAATTTCACTTATAATGCATGGCAGATGTATTAGTACTATCTGTGCATGTAGATGGTTGTGCATTTCACTTAAGTTGCTTATTTTAGTGACTGAGACTATGGTCCCAACATTGTGTCACAAAGATAGTTTGAGAAATGTCGATTTCAGCAAGTAATAAAGAGAAACAAAGTCACTAAAATAAGCAACTTATTTGGCATAAATCTATTGCGGATGTCTTCAGCTGACATATAAATATCTTCTCTAGCATGATTAAAGTCACTTCTGGGAATAAAAAGATCGGGATAAGAAGCGCACTTCTGGAAGAAAAAGCCTTGGCCTGTCATATACTATGTTGCTTTGCAGCTGAGTTAAAGGAAGGGCTGCATTTATGGGTTAATGAGGTATGTCTTGAATAATTACAATTTACAAGGATTAAACTTGTGGTTTCTATCACATGAAGATGAACATTTCTATCCAACTTGTGGTTTATACAGGCTGTTAGTGGTTTAGTTCCAAATCTTACCTTTAAATTCAGCGAAGAAGTAAGAATGGCCGCCATTTCTGGTAAATTTCTACATGTGTCTTTCTAATCATTCCTTTCAGGCATTCTGAACTTTATCCGATGTTCTGTTAAATTGCATTTATTCCTTTTGTAGCAATGCCATTACTGTTGCATTCAGCTGCTTTTGCTGTGAAGAAAGGGCTTCCTGTAACAGGTTGCGGCAAGCCCCCAGTTCAAAAGCTATTTGACACCATAATCTCGGCTTTGCTTAATGCATTAGAGAAGGTAATTAACCTAGAGTTGTAGCAAAAGTTTAATCAAATATCATATTGATACGATCTTTTAACACTACTTTCCCTTTAGGAGTCAAAGGTACAAATTCAAGCAAGACTATTGGAGGCATTCAACGAAAGCATTCAGGTCAGCATACTATTTTCTCTTCTGTAATACTATTCTTCGCATGTTTTGCCCTTGAGCTTATGTGACTGTGCACTAAAAAGTACTTACTCAACAGATTCTGGGTTCAAATTTAAGTAAACACCAAGCTGCAAAATTTGTTGATTGCATATCAGAGGTTCTCTCAACTTGCTCATACCGCAAAACAGAAAGAGAGAAAAGGGTAAGAGAGCGCAACGATTCGAGGGAGCAGGAACTGCTTAAGGAGGAAACTGAGCAACACTTAACTATATGTAGAAATGTTAGTGTTTTATCTCAACACAACCTCTAATATATATATATATATATATATATATATATATATATATATAACGGGATCTTAGACTTACCTTCGTTAGTTTCTCTGTTTCCTGAACTCAGATCGGCATTTGCCTGGGAACTATGGTGAAAAACCTCAAGGCATCATTCTTGCCCCTTTTTGACAAGTTTTTGCCTCATGTAACACTTATGTGGGTAAGTTACTCTCTCTCTATCATGTACTATATAAGTAATCCAATTCGTGACACGTCCTACTGAAGCATCAAGAGTGACTAAACTGATAATAAACTGCCATTTAAACAAGTCTATTGAGAAATTGTATGGTGACACTTTTATGGTTTCCTTGACATTACACATTTCCTTTTCACTATACTCCTCTGTGGAAGGAGAGCCTTGGAGCAACGGTAAAGTTGTCTCCGTGTGACTTATAGGTCACGGGTTCGAGCCGTGGAAGCAGCCTTTAATGCTTGCATTAAGGTAGCTGTCTACATCACATCCCTTGGGGTGCGGCCCTTCCCCAGACCCTGCGTGAACGCGGATGCCTTGTGCATCGGGCTGCCCTTTTTATACTCCTCTGTGAGTTTCCCTTTACTTTTCTACATACTTCTGCACAGAGTAATGATAGAACAGCAGAAGAAAGAAGAATTTTAGTGCACCTTTTCCGTGATGTTGCTGAGCAGTGCCGAGAAGATGCATTCAGGCAAGTCTTGTCTTTTGTGCTTTCAGTCTCTTGTTAGTCAAGGAAGCACAATTTGCTTTAGCTGAACTTCAATTTTGATTATTTAAAAGCAGGTACTATGAGGATTGGATACATCTCCTGCTTAGAGTTTACGATCATAACAATCCAGATGTTCAGCAGGTTTTATCCCCTACTTTTACAGTTGTTTCCCTAGAAAATCAGCCTTATACATTTCAAATCTGACATTCTATATTTTTTCAGTTAGTAGCAACTGCAGTTGGTATTTGTGCTGAATTCGGAGGTGATATCCTCAAGCCTCATACTATAGGTAATTTGCGCATTATAACATGCTTAAGATATTTATTTTCTCCACTAGCAGGACTGACTTAGCTTTCTAATGTTGTTTCAGTAATATTCAATCATTTAAAATCTGTAATGGAGCATCCCGATGCAAAACGCCCGGATAACATCATGGCTTACGAGGCTGCCATTTCTACCAGTGGGAAGTTAAGCCAGTTTGTCTGGGAAGGCATTTACACCTATAAGGTTTTCTCTCTTCCTACTCCTTCCCTATATCATTCTTATAAATAACACTAGAACACATAAACACTCAACACAAATTTACGACTTCTCTTGATAACTTTATGGTTTATTGGCTGACATATTATAAACCTTCTTGACTTTCTTGATTTACAAAACTATTTTGCGTGGCAGTTTATCTTGCTTTGGCTTAGCCACTTACCAATAAGGTGTAATCTGGATGAGGCTAAAATCAATCACGAACTGCTTTGTTCGATGATGGAAACGTAAGTTTTTTCAGTTGAGCAATAAGCAATACATGATTATAAACCTTCAACATTTCTTATGCATCGTTGGCATGGTGCCTTGTTCTTTCAGGTCGGAGAAGAAAATTATTGGCCCTCAAGGATCTTATATACCGAAAATAATAGCAATTTTTGCTGAGGTAGTATTTCCTTTTCCTGTACCGTTTATCCTAAAATTTTGCCACATTGTTAGTTAACTATACCCGGTCAATATAGGCTTTATGAAAGAAGGTGGTAACAGTTAACCTATCACAAACAATGTACAGTTCCATATACCTAATAAGGTATCCACCATTTCATATATTATCTTTATTCTTTCTCTTTTTTAGGTTTTATGGGCAGGGAACAATTTAGCAACAGAAGAAACTATCAGGCGAATGATCAATCTATTGAAGAAGTTCCAAAGGGAACATCAGCCTTCTGTCCTGTCCAACATATATGCAACATTACCTTTACCACATCAAAGCATGTTGCGCACTGTCTTGTCCGCCATATAAATTGTTTGTGCATTCTTTGAGTAGATACATGTATAGAACATAGAAGGTAGCTAACAGGAAAAGTAGCAGACTCAAAACTTGTATAGACAGAGGAAGGTTCCTCCACCCACAAATCTTCCTCCTATTACTGTAAAGAGCGCGATTGTATACAGCGGATGAAGTAGGAGATTTTTGTGTTTCAACGGAATTTACCAGATTTTATGAAAATGAGATCTAAACATAGATGAATGTTGGTACAAATCTTTTTGCTCTATCTTGTGATATATTTGAGGTGATTTTCTGTCATGTATTAACTTCGAATTCCAATTTAGATTGACCTCCTTCATTTAATCATTCATGGTAAGAAGTCAAGTTGACCCTATAAGTCCTTTGTTTTTAGTTTCCATTCTTAGTTAAACTATCCATTTTGGCAAAAGCTAGAAAATTCTGAAGTGAAAAAGAACAAAAGATGTGATCTGTGAAGTGCATAAGAGGCGGATTTCTGTGGATTTGGGGACTTTAGACATTGCTATGTATTATCATGTCAAATATGAAACACACACACACACACACACACACACTAGGTTTTCTTCTCTATGAGACAAAGAAACAGAGAAAAATTGTCCCATCAGAGACGTTCGATAAAATTGGAACGAAAGAAAAAGCAAAAGTTAGGAAAAGAAATGTGAAATTGCAAAAATCTAACTTCAATAAGCTTATTGTTCTTCAAATTACCTGTTGCAGTCCCCCCTTAAAGATCATGTGGCACTGAGGTCGCGTCCACCGTTGTAGCTTGTGTACTTCTTTGGAAAGAGAGCATCTCTTGTTTCAGAAGAACAATGTACTTCCAGTTTCTGCTTCAGTTCGTTTCGTTCCAGCATAAGGCATTCATCTCCCAATTCTCAATTTATTGTGAAGTACATAGAAAAATGATTCTCGTATGACATATCGACCATCTAAAGAATGGAAATTCAGTTGCTGAACTGCATCAAATACGGCTGAAACCGTAGTAGAAATATACGATATCAAATCATCTCAAGTATTTTTTGGGTCTTTATTCCTCAACTTTGTTGGCACTTATGGAGTATTAACTGTCATACTGACCAAGGTACAGATAATGAGAAAACACTCCCAAAATTCAATTCAATACTGAGGCTATTGTTTCCTCGGATTTGGTTTTTAAGAAAGATCAAGAGAATTGGTCTGTAAAATTGGAGTAACCATAATTTGTTCACATAATACAGCTAAATCACATGAAGCCAACCAAAATAAAGCAGGCATTTAGAGGTAGTGAGTCTCCATAACAGACATGAACATTAGTAAGGCAATGTTCAGAGGGAACAAACAAATGGCGTAAGATAGAAATAGCCATCAGATCATCATTATATTGAAATAACAAGAACTAGTTGTACTAGTACTAGAACGCAAAATTTATGAAGCCACTGACTTGCACGACATAATAAGACGAGCTTCAGGGGCAAACTTCAAGTTCCGCTTCCAATTCACGAGTCTGCAATTCACTCCCTGATGCAATCTTCTTCAACATCCATATCACTCAGATCAAGATCAGCAAGTAACTCCTCCAAAGGAATAGAAGGAACATCTTCCCCATCAGCAATAGATGTGACTTCCGATCGTTGATATTCTTTATTACGATACAATGATATGTTGAACCTCAGATCAGGATTCTCCTCTAAATCTCTCAAGAATTGTTCATATTCTGAGTTCAACTTTTGTTCCTGATCTCTACCTTTGCCAGAGTTATCGACTTCCATATTAAGAGACTTAAGCTTCCAAGACCGAGGCTTCCCACGTTTCTTTTGGCGCTTCTCTTCATAGCTTTTCTTAATTAATATCACCTCTGGAAGGACAAGACCTTTGTATTTGTCTAACTCAATATCATTGTTATTTGCTCCATATAAATCATAACCGAGGGCATAGTCTCCGGGATTTAGAAGATGGCCTAGATGTGTTCTTACCGAGAACATAGTATCATTTTTCCCGAAATCAGATACACGAGCCACTTGAATATCAGCTAAAACATACTTCGCGCCCCCAATATTAACTTCTTCAGAAACCACATCAACATCTAAAACTACATACTCCACGAGCTGTCTACTAGACAACAAAGGCTTAAACGACACCCTCCAGTACTGATCAGCATCCAAGAAACAATGCCTCAAAGTAAACGGATCTAGTAAAGCGATACTGTTGCTCACTTTGGTGCAGATCACAAGAGGACCGGTATTTCCTAAACTAGCGGCCACTTTTGGAGGGAGACATATCAGATCCTCACGACAAATTGGGCTGATTTCTACAGAGAATGTATACTTATAATTGAAGTTATTGCTCTTGTGATCATGAGATACAAGTTGCTTGTCATTTCGGCTCCTAACAGGTACCACCCGACTCACAAAGTCAACAAACTTCAAAGCATGACTTCTATGTGCAAAGAAGAGATCAATTCCCTGATCCAACATTTTGATTTTTATGGCACAATTAGCCGCAGCATGCTTAAGAATGAGCTGCTCCAAATAGAAGAAAGTCCTTCGGTGAGAAACGTGCTGTCTAAGCTGCACAGCCGCCACCCATTGATCAGGGTTAGCTTGCACCTTTGAACAAGATTCACACATTTGGTCTTGAACAACATACTCAACGGCATATGTTTGTTCGAGAACAGCTCCATTTAGAACCTCTTTTTGGACTCTAAGCCTAACTTTGATCCTTTTAGAATGAGGTTCAGTCCAAATAAACTCAGCATTCATCAACTTAACTTTATTTAAATTCTTCAACCTCTTGATACAGAAGGTGAGTAACTCCTTCGATTCGAGCTGTGCTTTGATCCAACTCCTTGGAGGCTGCAAATAGCTATCACATTCGGGGCAATGGATAATCACAATATTCTTCTGTAAGCCTTCTGTTATATCAACTTCGGATCGCAAGCATTTAGCACACATATTGGCAGCATTTGGTTGCATCAAAATTCCGCATTTGCAACATAATACACTGCCTATTGTTTGTTGTACTGTAAACATACCTGATACTTCTGCCATACCTATAATAAAAAGGATTGTTACACAAATAGCCGGCCAGATTCAATATTTACTTTTTCTAGCCAGTATAAATAGATTATACATTGATTATACACAGTTATATGTATATTATACATGAATTATATATATGGTATATATCCGCGCTATTATTAGTTTAAGAGATTAGGTGGGCGACTATTTGGGTTAATTCTTCTAAAAAAAAGAATAAAAATACATTTGCATACATAAAAAAAATCAACAAATTAGAGACAGATTTCCATGGCAGATAACAAGCAGTAAGTTACATATATTTTAATTTTCAATTATCCTTTGTTTGTATTAAACAAGAAATAAACTGAAACTGAATAAATTCTCCAAAATAACAAGTACTCCCTCTGTCTGAACAGTTTTTCAACTATCAGTTACAATTCATACAACCTTTTACTATATCATTTCTAAATATATAAATTTTATTTTTAACAAAAATTAAGAGATTGATGTCCAATTTACGTTAAAAAATTAAATAATTTTATTCCTATTCAGCACTCCTCTAATTCTCTATTTTTTTGGGAATAACATTAAAAAAAATCGCATCCCAAGTACTTCTCATAATCCTTTTACAAATTTGAGATTTATATTAAAACATTATTAAAAAAAAAAACTTTTCTTCCTGGTACCAAATGATAAGAATTTGAAGATCACAAACAAATAAAGACATGAAATTGATTGGGAAAAAAAAATAGAAATAAAGTTTTCCAATTTGAGAAACTGAATTGTGAGATTTATATACCTGAAATTGGAGAAGAGAGAAAACTGAACGATACGAAATTGAAGTTGATAATAATAAGGAAGAAATATGTGGAATTAATATTTTTTAATTTCTGGTGTTTGTTGTTATTTTGGACATTAAAAATAAACGAATTTAACCGACTTTAGGAAGAGTGTGGCGTCACTGCTTACTATGTGGTCTTCCTTTGGTGTTGAATCATCAATTCAATTATACATGTCAAATAAAGAAGTACATTTACAATTCAATTAGACATGTCAAATATAGAATCATACACAAGTGCACCGATCTCCAGTATATTATGCTGGAACTTTCCGTGTTGCGGCAAAATAGTGGCTATTTTTCAATGACTTTGCAAACGCGGCTATTTTTGAATTACCAACCCGAAAACTAGCTAGCCCGTACTATTTTATTAGTATATTTACAATTCTATTTAGCTCAACTACATAAAATATGACCCTGAAAGTAATAAAATTGCAACTATAACTTATTCGGCCCGACCTATAGGTCCACTGACGTAAAGTGAGGAGCTGAGCCTGATCTGTCGAATCGAAGTCATTTTCAAAACCATACTTCCTACAACTAACATGTGTTTAGCCTAGCAGGAATGCGAACCCAAACCCAAGTAGTATGGCCATAATCCGAAAGAACAACAACAACAAAAAACCTAATAAAATTTTACAAGTGGGATCTGGACAGAGTAGTGTATATGCATACTTTACCCTTACTTTATGATTATAGAGAGGCAGTTTACGGTAGACCCTCGGCTCAGGAACAGAAAAGGGGCCATGATCTGACAGAGAACCATGAAAATAAAATTGAACAATGCTAATATCTACATAATGAGGAAATTTGAGGACTCGATTGGAAATTATTCTAAATATGCTTAGAATTTAACCATGAGTGCACCAACTTATGCTTAAATTTGCAATAAGGTAACAAATATCTTGTGTGTGTGTGTATTCATTTGCAATGTATAGAACCACAGGACCGGGTATGCAAATGGATTTGGAAAATGATACTGTATAACCACTCTCAAAATAATAGCTGAAAAAATGTATATTTTTGTATATATACTTTTTGTATGTTATACACAAAAATTATAGAAATTTTACACATTTTTTGGGTTACGAAAGGTAAATAGTTTCTGACGCGGGCTAAAAATGAAAAAAAATCCAATGGATTAAGTAAAGTGGGCTTATATGAAGTCCACTTTTGATGGGTTTTTTGGGCCTTCAGGTAAAGTTAGGAGCCCAAACTCATATCTTGCTTTACCAATGTGTGAGAAAGCCCAAATATACTAAACCATTGCTCACTTGGGGAAAAAATTAACACAAATTCCATGATCACAAGTCACAACTATAAATAAAAGGATGCTTGCAATTTTAGAAAAAAAAATTATAACTAGATTTGGGATACAGTGTGTGTCTTTTCCCATTTCAAGCAAGAATTAAAGAAACTATAACTTTCCTAGAAAAGACCAGAGACAAGTTTATATTTGCGAGGAGATTATCCTAGTACAATTTCAAGTTAATAATGTGAATTAGGAAAGATACAAATAAGAATTTCTCATAAAATGATCCACAAAAATAACCAGATTTACAAGTGGCAATTGAAAAATAGCCATAGTTTCAAAAGTAATCGAAATTTAGCCACTTTTCATGTAAAGATAAATCTGAACGAAAATACTGTTCAAAATCCGAAAAATATTCCAGCATAATATACGGGAGTTCGAATTTTTTAATATACTGGAGTTCCAACATAATATGCTGGAAGTTCATACACAGCTGCTCCAATCTCTAGTATATTATGCTGGAACTTTCCGTGTGCTGAAGTTCCAGTATATTATGCTGGAAGTTCATGCACAGTTGCACCAATCTCCGTATGTTATACTGAACTTTCCGTGTTGTCGCAAAATAGTGGCTATTTTTTAATGACTTTACAAACGCTTTTATTTTTTAATTACCAGTCCGAAACTAGCCTGTGCTATTTTCACATTAAACTTCAACACTAAATTGTGGAAATTTGAATCCAAATGGGTCAAAAATAGAAAGTACATAAATGGGTCAAAGCCCATTTTCTGAATTGTCAAATCTTCTATTGTCTCTTCCTTGGACCAACAGAAAAGGCCAAGTTATTGTTTACACTATGATGTGACAAGACCCATTTAGTCAAACAAGATTTTAACAAAAAGAATTAACTTTTAATTGAACTACAAATAGCCGTGAATATATAATATAATCTATATATTATATATATAATCAGTATATAATATATGCATACAAGTTAAGAAAAGTAAAGAGTAAAATCTGCCAGTTATTTGTGTAAAAATCCCTTTGAACAAAGTAATAAACCAAGCATTAAAAGTTATTGCAAGCATTTTTGGACTCAAGTCATTTCAAATGGGCTTAAATATCAAGAAAAGGAACATTACCAAGTTGAAATGAATCAAAAATTATAAATAAATAAATAAAAAGAACTAAAAGAATGCATGAATCATTCTTTCATATTCAATTTGAGACTGAAGCATAATTGTTGAAAAACTAGCATGAGACAGATCAAGCTTTGCATCTGACATTCGTTGGGCTTCTCTCTTTGAGAGCCTACGCCCCGACGTTTTTGAAAAATAAACCCCTCCGGCCGAAGACTAATGGTAGGTGGTTTTGTGGAGATAACAATAAGATTTCGAGTGACTTGTTGCAATTTCAAGAAAATTCCCTCAACCGCTAACAGGCAAGCTCTGAGTTAACTGGAACCGATTGCATAGAACGAAAAGGACGATCCTAATCTTGTGTTAGATTGGCGAATTCAAAATTTAGAATCAACACATTCAGTTAAAAGTAATGAGTTCAGTCGAAACCACAAACTTCGTCCAAAATAAAAAAT